CAAACGAATTCTCTTTCGCGGATGAAACTGCGGCTCAACTTTTCGCCCTTTAACCCTTTGCGCTTTCACGGTCTCTCCGTAAGAGCCGGGATGTGGGACACATTCGGTATTCTTTCAGAGCAGGAGTTTCCTTCTATTTCACATTAAATTAATCCTTCTTTTATTTATTCTAGAAAAAAATGGCTTTCAAAAAGAATGTCAGTTTATACAGAAATGTTCTTAAAATTAATATTTGATATTTATCTAAAAACGAAGCGATTAAGTATTCTCTGTTTAAAAAATATACTGGTTCTTAATATTTATTTACAGAAAATTTGAGGGAATTTTCTCTTTTTTTTTTTTATTAATCAAGTATTGAATTATATAATACTATCAGCCAGGAAATTGGCCAGGAAATCCGTGATCGAAATCAATAGTAGATATCGTTCCTATATAAGAAAGAATATCGTTTATGATGTTCACCTTGTACTTCATCTGTTCGAAAGACTATTTTCTATGGGAACGACTACCTTGTATCTCGACGCAGGAATAGTGCAAAGGGTTAAAGCGCAAATCGATCTCGCGCGAGAGTGCTCTTCAAGATCCGATCATCGAATCGAGAGAGAAGGGGTTTGGTCCTTGCTGAGAGGGAGGGTCGACCGCCCACAAGTGTCTCCCATCGAAACGATGGAACGAAACGAGACGTCCGGAAAGAGAAAAACGGCGAATGCGACTTGAAAAGAGAAAAGCGAAAAGAGAAAAGATAAAAAAAAAAGGAAAAAAAGAACTGAATGAAGATAAGAGGAAAGATGGAGAAAAGCTGCGTCTGTATATGTGTATACCAAAGCTGTTGCTACTCTCTTTCTCTCTCTCTCTCTCTCTCTCTCTCTCTCTCTCTCTCTCTATCTCTATCTCTTTTTCTCGGCATTGTTTGTTGCTGGATGTTAACGTATGTGTTTTGTATATGTGTGCGATGTGTGTCTGTGTGTGGTCTTTTGCTTGCCTGATTCGCGATCTCTACACTTGCCTGCTCGATTGCCTGCCCGCTCTAAGCGAGATTTCGAGAATCGAAAGAATGATCGGCGATCATTCTTTAAAGTCAACGCGGTAGCAACTGTTTTTGTTGTAAACAAAATTTCATAAAGATATATTTATGGAAAAATTATTAGATGTCTATTGATTTTTTAGATATTTTAATATCTTTGACATATAAATTAAGATCAAGAGCAATGCAAGCAATATTAGGATTATTTTCGGAAACGATAATAGAAATATTGAAAGAAAACATGACATGGAAAAAACATTGATAATTACGGAAAGATTATTTTGCCGGTAATTATAACATTAAAATGTTGAAATAACAGGAATCTTTATTTTGCAACGTGAAAAGATACTAATAATTACACATTCTTATTTCGGTAACTAAAAGTACGTTTATAAATTTAACTTTTTTTTTGCTTTCAAAATGTTTGTATTGATTAACTTTGTTCCTAACATTTTTTTATTCGGCAAGAGATATTCCAAGCTTAACATATGCCGAATAAATTCTCAGCAATTTTAACGCACGTTTAAAAGAAAATTATTCGTACAAGAAAGAATATACACAGCATGTAATGTTTGAATATATTCCGCATTATTATCGTCACTTTATCTTTCAATTGACGAAATCTTGTTGCCTGCTCGCTTTGGCTGCTGTGTGTATGCACGCGCGCGCGCGTGTGTGTGTGTATGTGTGTATGTTGGCCTTTTTCCTCTCTGCAAGCCACTATCCACTTTCCCTCTTCAGTGCATCGTGCTGTCGCTCTTTTTAGAAGCGGTCATCACAGCTGCACAGCTCACAGTACAATCAATACTCAGTGCACATATAACATTAGTTCACGCTATCATACAAAACAAACACATTTTTCGTCGATGTACGGGTTATCCCAAAAAGTTTTTACTAACGAGTCTCGATGATAACGAACATGAATCGGTTTTTCCTCCGAACTATTGTAGAATTTTATTTGAACAATAATTTATAACGTTAAAAATTTTAGAACAATAAATTATTTAAAACTAAATTATTGTTTAATTAGGAACTATTAAACATTTTTCTAAATAATTGACATAAAGTTTAGATTTCTAAAGATTTATACTAAATTTTTGTATAATTGTTATGTACATTTATAATACGTGACTATCAATTTATACAAATCTTATTTTGTGCATAAAGAAAATGTTGAGGAAAGACGTAATTTAATTAAAAACTTGTCTTACACCTCATTTTATATTATCACTTTTTTTATATTATATTTTGCTGATTTTCAATAATATGCTAATTAGTTTTACAATATAACATTTTATTAAGGGAAAAACCAATCGAGTCATGCGGTAAATAAATAAAATATCGCTTAGCTAATGTAAATCTTTTTGAGATATCCCGATTCTTATACTCGAAAGATACTTGAAATACATACTTGTTTAATCTTATACCCGAATATGTTGTAGCTACTTAACTTTATTTGTATCAATTGGTAAAAATAATTTTATATTTAGTATATTGTGGAATGATACTTATATTTTTTTAAATAATATAATATTTCATGACTGGAAATGTGATTTATGTAATACATCGAGTACAAGGAGCTACATGCACTTAATGAACGAAGGATATTGTTAATTTATTTTTTTCTCTATTGTTTCTCTTCTATCATTTATCTAGAATTAACTGATCACAATATTTTATTTACATGCTCGTCACTTGGATCTCTGTCACCGATTTGTCACTCTTCACGTTTTCTTCCTCAATTCTTACGCACTTCCCATTGTTACCCGATATATATTTTTTTAATATGTATATGCACGCTTGTGCCTCGAGTCGAATGAGGAAAGGAGCAAAAACATGAACAATTATTCATGAGTAAAAAATGAAAAAAAAAACGTCAGAAAAAAATCCATCTCTTACACAACTCTCGTAATGTCTATTTAACTTGACATTTAATTCTAAATGCGATTTGTCCGAGTTCTATTTAATTGACAGATACCTTTTATCGACGCGTTAATTAATGAATAATAATTAGAATCACATTTGAATCGGATATTCGCGTTTAGCCTTAAATGCAATGCTCAAATATGGGCTGTAATTAAACAGAGTGTTGTTATAAGTATTAAAAGGAAATCGTTAAACATGTATAAAAATATGTAGTCGCTTATCCTTTTCTCCTTAATTCATCGATCGTTTCATTCACTCGCTCATTCACTCATTCACTGTCCCTTCATTCACCCTCCCGCCCTCTTCCACTCCAATTACGTGTGCGTGTGTGTTCTACTTTGCACTTATCCAGGTACTCGCAACCCTTTGAGTCCTAAAGTGTCTCGCGTCGGGATTTCTTGCCGAAATTTATCTTGATGAGTTTAACAGATATTGAATTGTTTTTGAATTATACAATCCTTATAGGTATCATAATTAACAGTAATACAAATTGATTATTATTTATCGTTTTCGCAAACTTAAATTTTAAATTATTTTTGACATGTTTCAAATATAACTTTTGGGTCTTAAACTTCCACAATTTGTGTATGTTGTAATACATTTATTTATATTAAAAAGATTCTTTACATTTCTAGATTTTATTTTGTTTTTTTTTATTCAGTCGAATTTTTTTTAAGATATTGTTTTACTTCTACATCTTAACTTTTATGACCAGCATGATATACATGCTTACGGATAATATCTTTTGTCCCCCCTTTTATTAATTTTTAATCAATTCTACGTACGTATTTGTGACTCAAAGAGGATTGTGATTTGCCTCACGCAATGAATCTCACTCAATGGAAGTGTACTCTATACCTTGCGATGTACCTCTACCTACACTTTACTATGCATCGCTCTTTTCGCGTTACTGGGTGTCCAAGAAATTCCCATTTGTCGCCCAGAAAAGAAACACTGCAGACGTGGATCTCCTCGATCGCGCTCGATCTTTCTTCCGCTCGCGAAACGCGAGAAGGGCGTAGGGACGATCGACGACGATCGAGAGATCGAAACCTGTTTCACTCGAAAACTCGTAGAGTGTCACAAAAATAAAGGCAGAGCCCCTTCCCCCCCAAACAAAGAGTCAAAAACAAAAAAGAAACAAAGACCGAAAGAAAAAAAACAACAACACGCCTTTGTCAGAAGGAAGATGTCCGTTATGTGAAAACAAAAATTAATAAACGCACAACAACGGCGACGACAATTACAGCAACAGGAACAACATCTACAACAACAACTACAACATGAACAACAACAACAACAACAATAGCGACATCAACAATAACAACATCGCCATTGACCGATACAACATCAAGAACAACAACAACAACATCAACAACAAGCGACAACATTTGCCGACACGTCCGTACCGTCACACCGCGTCACGACGGTACCTCGGTCGGGCCCACTACTTTTCTCTTCCAATTGCTCTTGCCTGCCTCGTCTCTGCCCACCTGTCTCTGCGTCGCGGGCAGATATCGCGTACAGACATATGCGATATATATATCGACGGCACGCCAAGGCGCGAGCCCGACGGCGTGCCGCGACGTCGTTCGTGATTGAAAGAACAAGGAAAAAAGTGATTTAGAAAAAGAGACTTCTCTGAAAAAGAAAACGAAAAATATACGAGAGAGGACCCGAAATACTTCTCACTCTTGTCCCACTCTCTATATGCGCGCCACCACCTCAACATATCCGGCCACAATATCCACCTCTTGTCTTGCTTGCCCAGTACCCACCACCAACTTGTCCATTACATATACCTCTGTCTATAAATATATTATATATATTTATATATACCTAACTACTATACTAATATACTACTATAATATTACTATATACTATATACTTACTAAAGGAAAGATGTGCGAAGAAAGAGTAAAGAAAGATGTACGACTCTTTCTCTCTTTCTTTCTATCTCTTTCTCTCTCTTTCTTTCTCTCTATCTCTATCTCTCGCTCTCTAACACTGGTGGTGGTTGTCTGTGTTGTGCTGCCTCTGTCTGTCGTAGAGCAAGGAGGCTGGCATCCGCACTCTGGTCGCACTCGACGACCAGGGAGGTGAGTGACTTCCGCTTGTTAGAAATTAAGTAACGGCCGAAAAAAAAACGAGGGTAGGAGGTAAAGGAAACGAGGAAAATCACTCGTTTTGTCGTATAATCACGCACGTCTTACAATCTGACACACCGTCCGTCATTCACAAAGCGAGTTAGCCCCGCGAGTGTCCTCCTCACACGCATATAACATGCATAACACAAACGTGTAACATAAACGGAGTCTCCAAAATGGGAAAATTGCGGGAAAGAACACAGCGGGTCCATTTCTGCATTCTTTTGCATTCTTTTTGCGCGAGATGTGCAACCAGCATTTCAGTTTCATTAAGTGAAACTAATCTGGCATTTAATTAAAAGTTTATTTTTACTTCCGTCGGTAAGTTAAGATCTCTTTCCTTAGATTGGTTTTATATTGGGGAAGCTGAGCTGTTTCTTTTTAGAAAAGTACACATTTAAAACTAAATTTTATATAATTTAGTTAGTTGTAGATACGAGATTTTTTTGTTTATAAAATTACTTTTGCAATTTCCCGAATTTTCCCCCGTATGTTTTTATGTCGAAGCTAGTCAACGATTTAGTTAACAGTATTCGGGCACCCCGTAGATGTCATCCTAAATGCTGTTGATGCTTGCTACTTGTTGAGAGAAATCCTGGAAACTAGGTTTTTCAAATACACCTGTATAATTATCATTCCCATGATAATAATTAGACACACGCATAACGGTATAACGATAAAACACTGACTCTTCCGGTCGTGCACAACGAAGGTTCTTAATAAGGAAAGATTCCAGCACAAAATGCTCTTTCTATAAATTCTATACCTTCTTAGCGAGCGCGGGACGATTTCTCCGTAAAGCGACCGAAAGGGTTAACACAGTGATCTTTAGAGTCAACGCTCGTAAACGCTCGCGGGTTGTACCTAGCTGCTAACCAGACGGAAATTGTTGTGTTGACATACTCAGTCCTACCGGGGGGCCCGAGGTATTACGAGGATATAGGCTCGCTACCCCCGAACAACCATCCCTCCGTTAATTACGACCGATGTGCATGCGCCGGATATTCAAACGTGTCCCAATTTGGCAAACGTTTGCATGAGTAATTCGGCAGCGCCGGATCTCGCAGACGCAGATGCAGACGGTACGCGAAATTCTCACCGAACGTACAATTTGTTCCGTCGCGTCGGCGTGAAACGTTAGGAAAAAAAATCGGAAAGTTAATTCCGAGGTCGGACTCCCCACTTGAAACTCAGACACAGAGACGCCTGTTATACACGCGAGAGAGTGAAGTCCAATTCTGGAATCTATAGTCTCCAAAATATCGATTAATCTGCGCTCGGTTTAACGTTGTCGAAATTTTAATTACTCGTTTTGACGCGATTTGTCGATTTAATGTCGCGCTTCTCACGTGGCCGGCGGACCGACGGTTGGTTCCGCTTTAGCCTTGTCGTCCACCCTAATAATCGCCTTTACGTCCCTAAGAGGATTTAAACGTCCTTACATCGTAATAGGACATCAACAATGAAGATCATTTCGCGCCCGATTAGCAAACTCGGTTAGGGAGATCGACAGCCAACTGCCACTGCACAATCGCAAGTTGTATACCATTGCCGGATCTACTACGATTACTATACTGATTACGAGACACCATCGCTATCACTGACACCACTGATACTGCTAATATATTACTAACGTTACTACTTGTACCATTACACTACGCGCGCCTCGGGTCGTTGAGGAAAATTTTCATTAAACTTATCAATTCCAATTCAAATTCTGAAGATGTGAATTTTTTTCTGAAGGTGGTTAATTTGTTTTATTAACCATTCGCAAAAAATCATGCAAAGTGCTTTTCCAGCACAATTTTATTCTTTAATCGGATTTGATCTCTTTTTCGACTCCGTTAAATTAACAAAATTTTTTTCCTGACGACCCGACAAGTGCAACTCATGCGATCACGACGCGAACCTGTTCAGGTCCGCTTCTACCCTGTGCGTCACCACATGTCTCACCACCGCGACATTAAGAAAACCGTTGCATAGGCAAAAATTCTTACGACATACACCGGCCACGTTGCCGGTCACAACATATACATATATGACGTGAAAATGGCCCTCCAGCAATGAATCAGTCATCGCTGCTGCTGCTACTGCTGCTATCGCCGCCGCTACTTGCCAGCGTTGACGCGAAACGGCTCGTACACGATCCAACAATCTGCGCGGATTACCGTCGCGCAAACGAGCATCATCATCATTATCGCATAAACAAACCGTTACATCAACTTTGCATTTCGACATACTTTTCTCATTTAACATATCGATATTTTGGCAGTCTTTATCTCTCAATATCTGTATGTATTTTAATCTTAGTATCGATCTTTAGATTTCTGGTATTGATCTTCCTCTCTCATTTAGGTATTCTACTATATAATTTCTCCATAATTATTCTTTCTGGTCGCGCAGACTGTTGGACCGTTTGTAGGAACCGCTTAACGAGATCGGATTGCTCTCGTGTTAATTAATTAACTGTTGTTCGGAACTGGTGTATTCGAATCGTGATCGTTTTTGTTTCTGTGTAAACCGATTACACACTCATACACTCACCCTTCCCATTTCGCGCCCTATTTTTTCTGTCTCTCTTTCTCTCTCTCTCATCTACTCACCATGTAGAGGATCTCGGATCTACTTTCTCTGCCGTCAGCGCGACACGCTAAATACGTTCGCGTGCAGCGAAATACAATAATAGCATCTGACGTGTGGGAGTGGGTCTTATCGTGCCTTGGAATTTTCCTCCTCGCAGGCCTTTCACACCCTTTCGCAGGTGTGGTGCAGAAATTTAAAAGCGCGCCAAGCCCCACGCTCTCACCTGTCGAACGCTGTTATCGCGCCTAGCTTTCGTATACGGGACGTATCGGAATAATTGGGACAGTCCCCCACGAATTTAGGCATCGCGACAGTTTTCGATGATCGCACAAGTGCGTTATTGTATTTCATTCTTCAGATTCAATTCGGTAGAATCGATAAGTAAGAGTAATAAGTAAAAAACAGTTCTACGTTACAATTTACATAACTAACTTTACTCCGGCGCGCGACAAGGCAAATTATATAACTGACATAATATTGTTACGTGAAACTATAACCATAATCATCATCGTCGGGTAATTCCCGGCCGGCAATAGCCGTCATCAATTAAGCGATTGATTCCATCGTAAAGTGATTCTCTGGTATCGCCGTAAAGCGATTATGAGCGAATATTGATTTCAGCATCACTTTCGTCATCTGCCTCGTTAATCATTGAAAGTGTCGCGATGTCGCGCCTGTGTCGCAATTAGCCCGATCGATCCAACACTCTCCACAAGATACACGCTGTAATTTCTCTGGACTGTGTACTTTATCTCTTTACTGTTACATTGTACACTGTAGCCACTCGCGAAGCTTACAGCTGTGTCGCTTTCAGTTCTACGTGTAAAATATACATATATTTATATATTTTTTTTTCAATATATATATGTAACTATACATACATATATATCTCTTTATGTATGTACATATATTAACATGTATTTGTCTATCTAGTGTACATATCAAGAAAGTATATATATATACCCCGTAATTCTCGTTAAAACGTAAAACGCTTGTGACAGTAGATATCTGTCTGTCTGTCGTAACTTGTTTTATTCCGCTCTCCTCTCTCTCTCTCTCTCTCTCTCTTTTTAACCTGATAAATCTTCTCTCACCTCTCCTTCTCTCTCTCTCTCTGTCTGCCTTTCGTTTCTTTGTATCTCTCCTTGGTTTTTTTCTACTTTTTCCTTTTTGCAATCTGTGCGTCGAACGTGCAAACTTACTCTCTGTCGGCCGTCGTCTTACCAAATGTAGATACTGTCCCCGCTTTGACGTCGAGTCGCTGGCCGAAATGTAATGTGCGCGGTGCATATACGTTACATCAGGAAGGATTATATGTGCACTATTATATAAATAATCTACCTAACCTAACGTTTGTGTGTGAGAGAATCGAGAAATTGGTCGTCCAATTGACAGCTCGGAACGAAGTAGATTAACGAGAAAGCGAAGCAAAGAAACTCCGCTCGGCGCGATCGCGCCAAATCGCGCTAATCGCCGATTAGCAATGGCGAGAGAGTAATTAGCAGTGACCATCGTCATCAGCATTATCGTCGTCATCGTCGTTGTCGTCGTCCTCATCGTCGTCGTCGCTGTCGCTATCATATCGCCTCACCAACGTCATATCGGTTAGCTTGTATTCGTGAAACGCGCTCGACTCTCAAGAGACGCACCGGCGACGGTCGTTTGAACTTGTTATTGTCATTGAAGAGATCACGAGGGGGAGCGCGTGTAAAAATTATTAGAATAATCTCGAAAAATCTTTGAGTTCCCTCCGGCCTATCACTTTCTCGCTCTTTTAAGCTCACCTTGCAATTCCCTTCAAGGAGGGAAGATCATCCTTGAAGATTACTCTACCCCGGGGAAATAAGCAAAGAGCAATCTGATTTAATCTAATAATTTTCACTCCTATTTCTTATCCACAGAGAGAGAGAGAGAGAGAGAGAGAGAAAGCTAGAGAGCTCCTCTCCGGCGACGGCGTCTCTAGTTCGCCAATAATCAATATCTCTCTCTCTCTCTCTCTCTCTCTCTCTCTCTCTATCAATGTCGCCGACGCATCTCGTCCATTTACCACGCTCCATTAGATCGTCTCGTCATCAGTCGTCATTACTCTTAATATCGGCCGACGTCGTGTCCGTCACACATCGTTGTTATCTCTCTATTCTCTCTATAATCCCTAACGCAAGCGGTAAATGCAGAAACTGCCGGTTGCAGTCGTGGCTGATTGATCGGGATTGCAATGCGAGGGCGAGTTCAATTAGAACCGATGATTGAGAAGTTGGGATGGATTTAATGCACAGCCCTCTCAGCTTTCTTAAATCGAGCGTTTTTCGGGAATTTAATTGACTAACTCGTCGTTAGTGACTTGGGTTTTTAGAAAGGTCTGTTATTAA